GGCCTGGCTGGCGCCACCAGGCCTTAGCAGGAAGCAGCTGCGGAGGCAAACACGTAGACAGCAGAGGGCGCTGCTGCCCGCCCGCACCCACAGCCGGGCCTGGTGGGAGCTCGTACTGCAGCCAGGTGTTGCAGGCCTGAGGCCTCCCTGGTAACCATGGCAGACCCAGGACAAAGGGACTCATGGGGACGGGGCCGGGCGGAGGCGTCTCTGGATGCGCGCCGCCTCTCCACACACTGCTCTCTCCAGTCCTCGGGTGGGACGCCCGCACCGCACCGTCCACCCTGCCCACTCCAAGGCACAGGACACCAGAAGCCACGGAGGGGGTGGCGCGTGTCCCCTGCCTGCTCTCCACTCAGTGGGGGAAACAGGACCCGAACTGGACCTCACTGACACCGCCCAGGCCCGAGCGGAGGACGCCAGTTAGTGCACAGTCCCTGGGCTTCCTCCCTGCCCCGAGGAGCCCACAGTGAGGTCCTGCTCGTGGGGGACTTGGCGGGGACAGACGCGAGCTCAGAGGGCACGGCAGAGGGGCGAACACGGATGGGTGCAGGGAGGAGGAGAGGAGCGCGTAGAGGCCGGGAGGGCAGCGGGCAGTGGCGGCGCCGGACACAGGAAGAGGCAGGGAGGGGCAGGGAGGGGCTGGACGCGGAGTAGCGCCCGGCTGGGAAGCGGGCAAAGGCCCTGAGCTGGGCAACGCGAAGAGCTGTGTGCAGGAGGCCCTGAAACCCGAGGCGGCTGGAGTTCGGGCGGTGTCGTGAGGCGAGCTGGGGGCGCAGGGCCCCCCGAGGACCCGAAGCAGGGTCCCGAGACAGCCAAGGCCCCTCCCACCCGCGTGCAGCCACGTCGGGCGCTGCCTTACGAACACAGGGCGGCCCCGCTGCCTGAATTTCAAAATCAGCGATGACTTTCAGCTTGCGTGGGTTGCACAAGTGACTCGGACATTCTTGTGAAAATAAATCAGTCGTTTTTATTCTGAAAGTCTCATTGACGAGGCACCGTGGGCGCCATCTGCCGGGGCCGGACCCTTCACCCCGGCACGGGTAGCCTGCACCTGCCCCTGTGACCGGCTGGACGTGGGCAGAAGGTCGGCAGCCAGGGCCGTCGGGCCATTCCTGCTCTCTCAGGGCACGGAGACGAGAAGCCCATGCCACCCCATGGCCGGCGCTGCAGCCTGAGCTCTCTTGGGAGCTCCCTGGAGTCCTGCACGCTGCCCTGCAGCGCTGGTGCCCACATGTATGCTTGCACACACAGGCACACCCCCCCCCAGAGTGTGCACACGCGCATCCTCGAGGGCTCCAGGACTGGCGCTGGGGCCATGGCCATTTCCTGCCTTGTTGGTCCCTGCTCCTGTCAGGGGGCTTGCTGCCAGGGCTCCCATGTACCCTGACCCGGGGACGAGACCCTCCTCACCATGGCTGCCGGACCTCCGAGGAGACCTCAGTCCTGGACCCTGACCCTACACTGAGCATCGAGCGGTGGCAGGGCCACGCCGGGGACCCCAGGCACCCGCTGCAAGGGGCTGGGGCAGCCGTGTGCTGCCCACACCGGCCAGGACCCACAGCCTCCCTGCCGGCGCTGTGCACTCAGCTTCAGCTTTCAGAACCCAAAGCCAAATGAACCCCCACTGTTTGCACGTGGCCCACCACCGCAGCCTCCGCCCCGACAGCCCTGCAGCTCAGGTCAGATGCCCCGGGGAGGCTCGGCCCTCCCTTCATCAAGCTGGGGGCTCTGCCACCAGGGGAAGGGCCTAGGAGTCCTGCTGCAAGGGCCAGGCCAAGCCCAGGACCACGCCTTAAATGCCGCCAGGCCCTGCTCCCCTTCCAGGCTCCACCCGCCTCAGTGCCCTTGGTGCCTGGAGCAGTGAGGACTGCAGTTGCCGCCCAGGCTGCAAGGCGCAGGTGGCCTGGCAGGGCTAAGGCTCCACCTGTCCAGGCGGGGCGGGTGCTGGGGCCCCACGGACAGCCCGGTCACGTCCGCGCCTTACCAGGAAGGACTGGAAGAGCCGGAAGGACCCGACGAGCCAGATGTACAGGTGGGAGTGCACCCGGGTGGAGGTGCCGTTGAAGGTGTTGGCCACCACTAGGAAGGAGTAGGGCCCCACCGTGAAGAACTCCCAGTCGTAGGCCCCCGACGTGGCAATGGTCTGGCTGGGCTCGAAGATCTGGGTGCTGGGGCTCCACTTGTAGATGACGCTGTCGATGTTGTGGTTGTCACCTGGAGCCAAGGCCACAGACAGCGCCATGGGGCCTGCAGGACCGCTGTGCCCCCGCAGCCTTGCCCCAGGTGCCCGCCCCTGGACATGTCCTGCCACTGGACCTCTCTCCTCACCAGGCCCAGGGTGCAGGAGCTGCTCCTCAGATGGCGGCCCAAAATCCAGGGATGTCCTCCCTGGCTCACACTGGCTATGGGCTGCCCCGCTTCCCCTGTGCCCATGGGCAGAACGACTGGGGCTTCTCCCAGTGAGGGGCTGCAGACTCCGGGGAAGGCTAAGCTGTGTGTGGCCCTGGGAGGCTGGGGCAGAGGGGCCCTGCAGGGCAGGGTGCCACCTTGGTCCTGTCTGTCCTCCAGGTCCAGATTTGGGAACAGATTTCCTGGCCCCTTGGCTGCATTGCCCACGCTGATCAAAGATCAGCAGAAGGCTCCTCTCAGGAAAGCAGGGACCGACAGCATTCAGGTCCCTGCAGCTGTCCACGCCATCACCCTTGGGGCTGACCCTGGCCTGGTGTCCAGGATGCCACCTGCTCACCCGGGCCAGCCAGACTGTGCCTGAGGGCAGGCTGGGCACTTAGCTCATTATTTTCAAACCAGGGTGGAAACTGGCAGGCAGAGTCCTGCGGGCAGGAACCACATAGGACCCTGTATCTCCCTCACTCCCGCAGGCCTGCAGGTGACCACAACAGCACTCCTGTGGGCTCATCCTGACATAAAAATGTTAGAGAGGCGAGCCGCAGGAGTAGGCCGTGTGTGACTTAGTTTTCTTTCTTTTTTTTGTTCCTCTTTGAGACAGGTTCTTGCTCTGCAGCCCAGGCTGGCCTCAAAGTTGTGCTCCCACCACAGCCACGGAGCACTAGTGTTACAAGGCAAGTCCCACCATGCCTGGCAACTTATTATTTTTAAAATTTTTTTTCTTTTTTTCGGTACAGGGGATCAAGCTCAGGACCTTGTGCTTGTGAACAGGCGTGGTGCCACTGAGCTAAATCCCCAGCCCACTTATTATTTTTTTGATGAGGTAAAAATCCACCCCGCAAGAAGTCACGGTTGTCCCCAGGAGTGGATTGCTTCCGGGTCAAAGGCCACACCGGCCCTACCTTCCCGATGGTTGGCCACTGCCAGGAAGTGCTCCCCGTCCACCTTGAAGGCCTCCCAGTCCCGGGCGCTGTGGGTGGCAATCCTCTGGTACGGAGTGAACTTCAGCTTCCTGTGGCTCCATTTGTAAATGACTGAGAACTCCTGGCCCTTTTCATTTGGTCCAAAGTTAGCCACAGCCAGGAAGATCTGAGAGAGAGAAACCAGGTCAGCGTGGCTCTTCTGATGGGGCAGGGCCCCGGTGTTGAAGGTTTCTGAAGCTGGCGCTGGCTCTCAGATCAGGTAATTGTGTTAACTGAGACCTTAAAAATGTCCATCTTCTTTAGCCCATGACTCACACTTCTACCAGAAGGAAAAAGAATCCCCAATTCAGGAGCCCTGCACGCACAAACACGCTCTGTGACTGTCGGACAGAAATGCATTAATGCACTGGCTTCCTGCGGTCAGGGCGTGGCCCACTGCCCTGTGGCCTGCCAGAGTGGTGGGCACTCTAATGTGGGGACACCCCAGAGGGAGAGCCCGGGCTGAGGGTCTAACGGGGTGGGGCTGGGAGTCGTCACCTTGTTGGTGCTCCATGTGCTCAGAGACCAGGTTCCAAGTGCACCTGGGTGTCTGCTCAGCTGAGGCCACAAAATATTTTCCCCGTGTTTTTCTGAATTTCCTAATCTGTCTTTTTATCTACTTAATGGTAGAAAATGAACAATATCATCAATCAAAAAGAAAAAAAAGGCTTGTTATGTATTCTCTGCACTGGACGTGGGGCAGCTGGGACAGTGGCGGAAGTGAGGGCCAGGGTGAGCTTGTCTGGTTTGTCCCAGGTCTGGTGAGGGCCCGGCTGTCTCTGACTCCCTGCTGGGCAAGTGAGAACCTAGAGGTGGGTCACCGGACGCTGTCTGCGGGACTCTGTGGCTTGGAGTCCAGGACCTGGGAAGAGAAAACCCTTTGCCTGCCTTGCCCTGGACCTGCCCTCCCTGTCTGTTTGGATGTCATGTGTCTTCCGTGTTTGTGGCGGGAGAAGCACAGGTCTTGTCTTTAATTCCACAATGTCTTACACTGTCGACCAGCTCCGTGACAGGAGAACAGGTTTGGATTTGGTGACTGGGTCTACACACAGGGGGACAACATCTCAGAAATGGCCCTGCCTTCCGCCTGTGAGAAGCCAGACAGGCTTGTCCGGTCCCGTGCTGGACGCAGAGCTGCAGCCTCAGGCCTGCTGAGCCTTTCTCCACCGGGACTCGATTTGTGGACCCGAGAAAGAGCCGCTGGGACAGAGGCGTCCTCGGGAGGAGCCCGGCCTGCAGGGCTGCGGCTGCCCCGCGTGGAAAGGCGAGGGACACCACCAAGCCTGGACTCGCCTTTTTCCCGATGGTGAAGTGTCGCCAGGACTGTGCCTGGTGAGTGGCGATGTTCTGGTAGGAGACGAACTTCCCATCCGTCCACTTGTAGATGGCGGACGTGGCCTTCCGGTTGGCTGTCGCCATGAAGAGCCCCACCCCGGGGATGCTGAACACCTCGAGGCCCAGCGTCTCTGAGTTGGTGAACAGGCTCTGCTGCTCCTCCACGTAGTCCAGCCTGACTTTGGCTCGGGACGGGAGAATGTGACAGGTTAGCAGGCCGCGGGTGGGCGCAGGGTGATGCCCTCGGGAGCCCCCAGGGCCCCAGGCACAGCTGACTCTGGCTGCGGCCGGCTTCCAGGCAGGAGGTGGCCTGCAGCCTCATCCACCCTCAGTGGCAGGCTGCTGCAGGGAGGCCAGGATGGCCTTCCTGTGCTGTGTCCTTCCTACACGACTCCAAGGCCTGTTGCTCCCCTCCTCCTGCGGAGCCCGTCTGTAGCATCCCCTCCCGAACCCTCGCCCTTACCTCCTGGCTCGCAGGCACCGCCTGCCGGGGGCACTGCCTGCCACGGGCGGTGGGGTGAGTGTCAGGACCCCACGAGGGAAGGGCCCTGGGCACCCTTTTCCCGTCCACCAGAAAGAGGACGTGGGAGACGCCCAGCCCTGCCGCAGGCCTGTGGGCCACACCCAGGGTAGGTGCTCCCAGATTAAAGGCTGTGGCCCCTGGGGTGAGTGTCCCCCCGCACTGTGGCTGTGAGGACCACCTGGGCGCTGGGGATCCCTGGTCTATGGAGGACAGGTCCCAGCTGCCGGGTGCTCCCTGGCTCCCAGGGGTCACTCTCAGAAGCGTCCAGCCTGGTCGGCCAAGCGTGCAGCCATCTGGAGCCCGCCGAGGCCGCTCACCGCTTCATAACCGCCTCGCCCCAGTCGGGACGTGCCAGGCTCTCCTGGCTGCTCAGGGTGACACGCACGGGGTGCGATGTGGCCTCACCTGGCAACACTGAGACCCACTCACCGCCCTCGCACAGGTACAGTGCCCTCCGGGCGGCGTCAAACCAGAGCTGGGCATCTTCTGCCTCGGTACACGGCGGGCGGGACCCCAGAGTCACCTTCACGTCAGCTTCTGCAGGGACACCAGGAGGGTTGTCGGCAGTGTGGGGCCCACAAGGAGTCCCGCCCAGGGCCCTGCCTCACCTGTGTACCTGGCCAGGAGGCCTGTGTCTTAGGGCCACCACCCCACTGTGGGACCAGGGCTGCAGACAGGCCCAGGCCCCTTTGGAAGGCGTGGCTTCCCGTCTCTCTGCCTGCGCCCCGAAAGTGCTGCCCATCCTGCACTGTCGTTCCTGGCAACCTCGAGGCAGCCTGCTCCATGGTGCCTGGGCCTCGCCAGCTGCGACTTTACTTTGTTTTTTGGTTTTTGAGACAGGGTCTCACTGGGTAGTTCAGGCTGGCCTGGAGCTCACGGCCATCCTGCCTCAGACCCTCGAGTGCCAGGGTTATGGGTGTGCACCTCCACGGCCAGCTGCCGGCTGTGATTTTAATGAAGTGGCAGCATTATGACTACCTCGGGGTGACACAAATACAAACCAGAGTCAGTGGGTGCAGAGGGGCTCTCGGCGGTGGGGACCAAGGAAGGCAGAAGTGTATGTGGAGAGCCAGGCCCGCCAGACTGGGCTACCGATTGTGTGCTGGCCGAGGGAGGGACCGGAGAAACAGCCCAGGGGTGGCTGGGTGGCTTAAGCTTGGAGGACACGAGAATCACGCGCCATCTGCTGGGCTCAGCAGGGCCCTGTCCAGGTGGGGCCTCAGAGGACGGGGATGACGTGGCCTGTCCCATGCCACCTGTCCTCTTGCCACCACCAGGCGCGAGGGAAAGGTTGAGAAGGGAACCTCGGTGTGGGGCCGTGGCCCCTGGTGTCTACTTCGGGGAAGGGGCCGGCGACCTTGCCTACTGACCGTAGGGATATCTCAGCACCTCGTTATCATCCGGCTTCCCCGAGAGCCCCTGGAGGGCCTGGGGGATGGCCAGCTCAGCCAGCTGGGCGGCGTTCCTGCTGGGGCACAGCCTCAAGGTGGCGTCCGAGCCTGGCAGCAGGGCCAGCTGCCGCACCAGGCCCTGCAGAGAGAGGGGCAGCCTGCTCAGAGCCCACACTGCTGCAGGGTCGGGGGGGCTTGGCCCATCTGGACCCGGGGGAACGCGGCGGGGGGGGGGAGTCGGACCTTAGCAAGCCAGCAGAGCCGAGTCTGCACGCTGGTGTGGGGCGCGCTGGTCAAGAGCGGGGAAGGTAAACCATGGGAGGTTTTCCATGGGGATCAACTTAGAGTGAGCGGGCTACACTGCTCATGGGTCTGTCCATCCGTGCATCTGTCCATCATCCAGCCATCCACCACTCCATCCGTCCATCTGTCGGTTCATCCCTGGGCCGTCCTGCTGCCCACCCGTCTGACTGTTCACTCATCTAGCATCCATCCGCTACTCCACAGGTCACCCATCACCACCCACGGGCCAACCACTGCATCCTTCTGTCCCCTGCATGTGCTGGTCCATCACTCATCTGTCCACTCACCCATCCCTGACCCAGCCACAATGACGATGCCACACTTTCCCAGAGTACCTGAGTGGTCCGGACCCTGCGGACCCAGCAGAATCAGAGCCCCGACCCTCAGAATGAGGCCCCGTTCCCTTCCCTAGGGGAAGGACCCGTGGGCAAGGTGGGCTGTGCTACTGAGTGCAGACAGCACCGGGAGGGTGATGTGTGGGCAACATCTTTTTGTTGTTGCTGTTGTTATTGTTATTTTGATTCAGTGTCTCACTATGTAGCCCAGGCTGGCCTTGAACTCATGGCAATCCTCCTGCCTCAGCCTCCCCAGTGCTGGGATTGCAGGTGTGTGTCACCACACCTGGCTGTGTGGGCCTCATCTTAGCAGAGTGGTGGGCAGGACTCCATGGGAACAGGAAGGGAACAGGAAGTGCGAAGGCTGGGTGGTAGGGACCCACTGCGCCTTGGTGCCCTGCTTCCCTTGGGGACAGCCAGCAGTCTGTTAACCTGCACGTCATCGGGACGGGCCGTACTCACTGTGAATAAGCCTTTGGCTCTCCTCCGACTGCCGATGAAGAACCGCGCTCCTCGCACGGACAGGGTGGCCGGGAAGGGCACATCAGCCATTCTGAGAACAGCAGGGGCAGTTTTAGGGCACAGAGAGCAAGGCCGTACCCCACTTGTGTACTAGAGGAGCCATAGCAAAGGAGCATACATGGGCTCCCTCGGTCTAGAGGCCAGCATCTGAGATCTGGGTGTTGCGGGCCACAGTCCCTCTGCTGCTCCACTAGGAGGCTGTCCTTGACTCCCCCAGCCCCTGGTGGCCCCCATGTTTCTGGGCTTGTGGCCTAATTTATCCATCTCTGCCTCTGTCTCCTCAAAAGGGCCTGTCCAGCTCCCGCCTGGCCTTGTCCTGATCGATTAAAGACCCTGGTCCCAGAAGGGGCACATTTGGGGTGGCCATAGGGAGACGTGGTCTGGGGCCGTATCACCCAGAGGACAAGGGTCCTCCACAGAGGCACGTGTGCGGAGGTGCTCGGTGCTCTCCTCCTCCTCACGGAGCAGCAGGTGCTGCCACCTGCAGGAGTCCCCAGCCCACGGCCCTCCAGTGGGCCCCGTGCCCAACCGGGGAGGGGCAGTGACTCTGGAGCAGGAGGGAGGCGCTGGGCTGGAGGCCCACGAGGCATTAGGAGGAGCGCCGGACGCTGAACTCTGGAGAGATGCGGCAGGAAGGCAGCTGCCCGACAGCGACCGCGTGGCTGGAGCCTCTGGTGGGAAAGCTCAGTCCTGGACACTGCTGCTGGAGCCCCTGCCTGGCGCGCCGCCCATCCGGTGAAGCCCCGCGCCCTGGTGTGTGGAGGTCTGCTGCGGAGGTAGCGGCTGCGGTGACTCTGCAAGCATCTCGTCCCCGCCTGGCCCCTGGCCCCTGCGCACAGAGCCCCTGGACAGCAGGGACGTCCCCTGCCAGGACCTCAGCGCAGGCCGCCAGAGTGAGGGCGCAGCCCTGCGACCCGCTTGGTACCTACATGTGCACCGGGAGGCCGCAGTCCGTGGTGAGGGAGAAGGAGGCTTCAGACACGGCCAGCACCAGCGTGTGCCACCGGCTGTCCGCGAGGCCGGGGCTGCGGAACGACACGCGGGTCTGCCAGGCTCCGGCCGCATCCTCGCGGAGGAACAGGAAGTGCAGCCGAGTGGGAGAGTAGCGCAGGCCTAGCAGCAGGGCGTCCCTGTCCTCCGCCACCACCGCCAGCAGGTACTGGTTCTTCTGCGGAGCAGGGAGGGCGGGGCTTGTGAGAGGGGCGGGCCCTGGGCTGACAGGCAAGGGGTAGGGCCAATGGGAGAGGAGGGTAAGACCTGGGAGGGGCGGGGCTTGTGGGTGAGGGCGGGGCTGGCCCAGGGGAGGGGCCAACGGGAGAGAGGACCAAGACCAGGGAGGGGAAGGGCTTGTGAGAGGGGGCGGGGCTGGTGGAGGGGAGGTGGAGAGAGGGGAGGTGGAGAGAGGGTAGGGCCAACCCCTAGGAGGGGGGAGGTGGTGAGGAGAGGGGTGAGGAGGCGGGGCTGCAGGCCGACTGGGCAGCTGGGGGCCTATGGGAGGGCGGGGCTGACGCCCACTGTCCGGCCCTGCCCGGAAGCTTGGCTGTGGCCCAAGGCACCCTCTGGATGGCTGCTACACTGCCCGAACATAAAAACCCGGAAGCGCTGTGGTGTAGAGTAGCTGCTGGGGGCAGCAATACAGCGGTTCCCCCCAATTAAATGTGGTCCCCCTACACTACCCAGCAATTTCCCTTCTGGGTCTGTAATCAGAAGAGCTGAGGTAGATATTTGTACATCCACGTTCCTAGCAGCAGCATCCAGAGTAGCCAGAAAAGTGGGCAGTGCCCACTGTCCAACACGCAGGCATACAGCAGGTGGTTTACGGCCACAGCGGAATATGACACAGCCCAGAGAAGGACTGAAGTCCTGACTCACCTGACGTCATGAATGCATCCTGAGGACAGTGTGCAGGGTGAAATAAGCCAGACACTGCAGGACAAACACCACAAAACCTTCCCTATCAAGTTACCAGGCGTGGTCAGACTTGTGCAGATGAGCTAGGGAGATTCAGGGACAGCGTCCCAGGGGCGGAGGTGACAGCCACCCTTGCACGCAGTAAGGACTCACCAACACTGAAGCGCGGACAGAAAAGTGCTGTGACTGCAGGTCTTAGGTTACGTATATTTCACCAGTTTTCTGTTTGAAACAATGAGCACAGTGCCTACCATGACAGTGACCTCAGAACTCTGAGCCTCCCTTTCTTTGGTACTGGGGATCGAACTCAGGTCCTTGCGCTTGCACAGCCGGCAGCGAAACCACTGAGCTAAATCCCCGGCCTGAGCCTCCCTCAGGCTTCCCTTTCTAATGCTGGATATTTAACCATGAGAGCTTGGTTGCACCCCTCTGCAGCAGAGATGCTGTGGATTCACAGCCCAACATAGTCCAGGGGAAGAAAACGTGCTTCCAGCCGGACGTGACACAGGTAGGAAAGAGCTGAGTGTGTGGGCACGGTCACGTGTGACCAGAATGAGCTGAGCACGTGCCCCTGACCACACAACCAAAAGGCCAGCAGGCCAGGGCCCTGGGGACCCTGTGCCCACGTTCACGCCATGTCCTGAAGGAGGGGAAGCCGCCTGTGTTCTGTGGGCGTAACCGAAATTCCAGTTCCATAGAACCCATGTGTCCAGGCTTGGCCACTCCAGGGACAGCAGGGGCCACCCATCCCCAGCTGCTGAACCACCCTGCCAGGAGAGGGGACTGTGCCCTGCCCCCGGAATCGCGGGACACCAGGGTGATGCTTACAGGCTGACGTGGTGAGGGCAAGTCCTCCGAGCTATGGCCAGGGCTGTGCCCGGCAGGACTGGGGAGGTGGGGAGTGGGGATGAGGAGGGAAGCAGGAGCAGTCAGTCTGTGTATGGGAGTGGGGTGCCAATGGCACCCCCCTCGAAGGGGAGGGCCTGTGTCCCGGCAGTGACCCTCCAGGCAGTGAGCCACTGTCTCTTGTGACTTATGGCCTCAGTGGCTGCTCCTAGAGATGTCCATAGCCGGAGGGGACGCAGATCTGCTCAAACTGTCTTCATGAGCACAAGAGGCAGAGAATCAGGTGAGGGAGGGTTTATTGGCGATGAGAGGTGCTGACAGGTTGGGGCTCAGGGCAGTGACAGAGCAGAGGACCCCAGAGG